ATTGCAGCAAAAATTTTCTCATTACAGCAAATCCAGTCGTCAGCTTCATCTGGAGTAACCTTCCCATTAAACTTAATAGGGTTGTGACGCAAAAAGTCATTCATGCCCACACGAGGTCTGGCTGCTTGTTCAACCTGTTGCTCTTGTTGTCCTTGGAGTACCCTAGATATTTGTCGAAGAGCCTGTGCGAGTTCCGCAATGGCATTGAGTGGAGGAGGAGTTCTTGCCCGTCTTGACATCTTCTATTATTCAAAATTACAATTAAATGCGGAAACTATCATACCATTATCAGGAAAACACAACAAAGCTAGTCGAGCTCACTCCCCAAGGCCCCAAAAGATTTATTTTTTTATTTGAAACCAAAGCTCTGATACCAAAATTGTAACATCCCTTATAGGATATTAATAATAATAATAATAATCTTGTAGCATGAATCTTATGAAAGTTTTTTTTTTTTTTAAACAATACCTCATATAAACAAACCATACACACATCATAAGTTCATACATTACAACAAACCAAATCTTAATTGTTTCCTTGAAATAACAAAATCAAACGAACATAAATAAGAAAACATTATAAAAATCCCAACAAGTTTTATTTCCCGGCTCTCTCGAAGAGCTATTCCAATCCAGCTTTATCTGCAATACCATCTACTCCCGTACAAGTACGATCATCGTAGGTGGAAACTACAACCACAACATTTCAGGGTGAGTAACCAGAAATATCATATCATAAACCCATTACATATAAACTTTAACAATTTCCATGACTTAATATAAATCGACAAACATGACCTGGCAGACTAGTCTTTCATAAACTAATGTCGTTTTCTTGTAATTCGTCTTCATAACCTGTTCTCAATAACAGGCGACTCGAGTCGTCTTCCATCGCGACTTCATACCTATCTCCCCAACTCCTCAAGGACTAACGAGTAAAAACATCGATACTACGCATAACGATGCACTATACTCAACACGAGCCGAAGTCATTGGGTGAGACATTCACTTCCTCACGCAGAAGAAGGTGACACTCGAATCTCAGTCTCACGCGAGACTCGCATTTATTTTAGTATTAAAATGCTCATAAGACAGACGAAGTTACAAGCAAATAACATAGTGTATGTACCAACATCAAACAAAATAAACGTGCTCAATCACGGATTCATACATATTCTCAATAACATGTATAAATAAACTAACAATAGACCAAGAAATAACCAACAATACTCAATAATTGCTTTAAAATACTACCAAAGAAAATTACGGATTCATACATATTCACCGAAGGCTATTTGGACAGACACTATTCGCCAAACGCTAATTAAGCGAACACTATTCACCGAACGTTTTTTGGTCGAACACTATTCACCGAACGTCATTTGGTCGAACACTATTCTATCTCGACGGACGCTATGAGATCCAACATTATTGTAGAATACTATTTGAGCGAGCACTATTCACCGAACACTGTTAAATGAACGTTAAAACCGAGCACCTTACTGGATTCAACACTATCAGGCCGAACGTTAAAACTGAGCACTATTCGGACGAACGCTCAAAGATTGAGCCTAGTTCGAACAATACCTTTGACGAGTACCTCCTGAGGATTAACATCATCGAGAACGAACGCTCACAATCACAATTAAACCAAGGCCGAACGTTCAAGATCCGAACCTAAGAATACCAACTTAAAGTCGAACGCGCAAGATTACTACCCAAGAATTCCAAGTTAAGAACGAACGTTTATACTCACTAATAATATATCAATACCGAACACTCAAAATCAAACACTATTAATCCGGACACCATTAGGACGAACGTTTTGATTCTTGGTCGAACCCCTAGGTCACTTTGCCGAACACCTAAAGATGATCGTCTAGAATCCTGGCCGAATTATTACAACTTAATCGAACAATATTAAATCAAAGCCTGACCGAACGGTAGCAAAATCAAGACATAATCGATCAGTAGAAACTAACGACCGAACGCTCATTAATCACTTATACCCCAAAACCGATCGTTCAAGATCCAAAACTTAAGAATAAGCAACTTAAAATCGAACGCTCACTTATACCCAAAAAACGAACGTTCAAGATTCAAACCTAAGAAGGTTAACTTATGACCGAAACACTATAATCACTAATACATCAAACCGACCGTTTAAGATTCAAACTTAGAATATCAATTTAAGGCCGAACGCTCACAATCACTGATTCACCAAGACCGAACGATTAAGATTCAAACCTAAGAATCCAAAACCGAACGCTCACAAGCTAAACCTGAGAATACCTCATCAAAATCAAACGCTTACTATTACGAATACAGAATCAAGACCGAACGCTAAGGATCACCAACTGAGACTACCAAATTAAAATCGATCGCCGAACGCTCACTAAACAAGCCCAGAACGAACGTTAACGCTCGTTACTGGAAGAGGCAAGATCGAACGGTTAATTTGTCCGACCGCTAGGTTGAGCACTAGTTGAGCGAACGCTCGTTCTACACTTTATAATTTGGCCGACCACTATTTGGTCGACCACCAAATGGACGTACGCTCGTTTTACATCACCTATATTTTGGCCGACCACTATTTGGTCGATCACTGTTTGGACGAACGCGCGTTCTGCAGAATTCTACACAAACATACAAGATTGCTCTTTATATGTCGACCGTCTTGTGTCTCGACACAAACATAGGAGATGTCGTGCGAGCGCTATATATCGCGACATAATTGTTTGGTTGTCGATCACCAAGTGGTCGACATCAACATGTAACCGTTATGATAGGATCGTCTTAACGACTAGCGTCACGACGTGTTCGACATGCACATGATCGTGACAGTACGACCTCGCCCTGGTCACCGGTCGATCGTTGGCGAATTAGGTATCCTACGGTACATAGCGTCACGACGTGTTCGACATGCACATGATCGTGAGAGTACGACCTCGCCCTGGTCACCGGTCGATCGTTGGCGAATTAGGTATCCTACGGTACAATATATGTTTGATTCTTAAGTTCAACCAACTCTGCAGGCGCCATACGATATGGTTGAACAGAGATGGGTGACACCGTTGACACCAAGTCGATCGTGAACTCAACCTCGCGAACAGGAGCCAGTCCCGGTATTTCTTCCGGAAAGACGTCCGAAAACTCATCAACAACCGATCGTCCATTACTGTTACCAATGGACGATCGTTCTTGCATCAAACCTCCAAACTCCTGATCTTCATGCGTCATAATCAGGAAACAGCTGGCGCCCTCCATAATGTCTTCTTTCAATTGGCCGAGCGTCACTGACAATTCTTCTTCTTCTTCATCCGGAAAAATTAACTCCTTCTTACCACAGTCTATGAGAATGCGATTGGTAGCCAACAAATCCATTCCTAAAATCACTTCTAATTCCTTCAAAGGTAAACAAATCAAGTTCACCTTATAAATACGCCCCTCAACAACAATAGGACATCTAATGCATACGGTAAACGTCCTAATCTCTCCAGCCGCTGGGGTTGACACCACCAAGTCGAACTGCATCTCCCTCTCAGTTATTCCCAATTTTTCAACACACGCCTTCGAGATGAAGGAGTGAGTCGCCCCAGAATCAAACAATACACAGCAAGACGTTCCATATATTAAGCAGGTACTGGTGATAAGTGATGAGAGGGTCGCACCTCCCAACAAAAGTTGTGCATAAAAGAATGCAGTATAGTACTAGGAAGTGACTCCTAGGTCGTCTCTCAAGGACCAAATTGGGTTCAGTCTTAGATCAACATGTAGTGGGGGGGGGGTTGAAAAAGTTTGGGGTTTTTTGGATTAGACTGAATTAATAAAACTGGAAATTAAATACAACCGAATATAATTGACAATATTAAAGTGAGTTAAAAATTAAAATTATAATAAGGACAAAAAAAAAAAAAAGTAACTCACTAAAGAAAAAGAAAACTGAGAGCATTTAAAAATCACCCACATTTCCAACTAAAGTAATTGGAGGAGTGAAAAAAATAAATTGTTTGAAGAAAGGGGACATTCCATAAAACCATAGATTGCAATAAGCTTATAGACATTAAATCACGTTTGCAACAAAGAATGAAATTCAATTCAAAGTTTTCGTGAACACAATTGAATATGAGCTTTTAGGCTTTATAAACAATTGAAATGCAATTTATCACCGAAAATCAATGAATTGAAAAATGCTTAATTGCAATAAAAATGAACTAAATAAAACATGCTTGCTTAATGCATTCAATTATATAAAATATTAATTTTCCACGTATTGGATATTCAAGCGGGTGAAGAAGAAAAAAGAAAGAAAAGAGCCCTTTGAGGGCTTTACATTTACAACCGTTACCATGTGCACATTCCAAAATTCCATCAGCGTTCTAAAAAGAAGGAGAAAGCTATGAGTCACCGTGACCCACACACACTTCTTTCTTCTCCAACGCAAAGTGTGTGCTGCTTCCCTTCATTGCTGGATGTGTATGTGGCAGTCTGTGCATCTTCCAGCTTAAAATAACCGCTTCCTCTTGCAAACCGAGTCAGGGCCTCCTATTCCAAAAACAAAATCCACTTCTTCCAAACGAAATTCAAAATGAATCCAATGTGCCTTCACGTACTACATCCCTTCTCTCGGTGGCTGCTCCTCTACGCTCTCAATGCCCTCAATAGTCAATCACCATCACCTCCAATGCACATGTTCCTTGCTGCATCCATTTCTCCAAAGCAAATATTTCTTCTCTCAAAATTATCACCAACAAATACACCTACCCCCATCTAATCACTTCTTCATTCTCAAACAATTGGAAAAACAATTCTCTTTTCTTCTAGCAGCCGTGACCCCTACTACCATGACACCTAAGTGCTGCTGCTTCCTTTCTCCAACTCATCCTCCGTGCCTCTCAACAGGACCTGGATGATCGAAACTTCACTCAAGCTTCATGCACCAAAAATGAAATTAATAGCCAATTGAAACGTAACAACATCCGTGTGCAAGCTTCCAATAAAGTAAATCAGCATCCTCAATCAGAGAAAGTGAGAAGAAATTGAATAAAAATCTCCAGCGTGCACAAGCTTTCATTCAATGAAAACTTAAACATACATTGTTCATGAATCCAGCACTTGCCAAATGAAAATGAAAAAATATAGAATATGTGCTCTTCATTCCTCCCAATATTCCAGGTCCAAGAGTTTGAAAACCCCAAAAACCGAGAGTGTGTGTGGCGGCTGCACAAGGGTCGTGTGTCCTCCCTTTAATAAGGGTGGGGTCCACACAATAAAACCCTAGGGTCCAAGTCACTAACCTCTACTTTTGAGTCTAATCTACTTTACCAAAAATTGACCCAAAATGTAAGAGTTGATTCAAAAATTCTAAACTACTGAAATACAATTTAATTAATTCTAAAATGTCTATGTGGAGAGTCTTGAATTTAATTGCATTCTTCCTAATGTCCCAAAATGTATCTCCAAAATTCTTCCTGTAATAAAAAATGCACTTAATCAGCTCAGAAAACCCAAATTAGCACAATTACAAATTTCCGACCAAATTAAACAGAATTCAGAAAACGGGGAAATAACAGACAATTAAACAAAATTCCCTGGTTTATTTAAGTGCAATACACTAAATATAATTCAAGAAATAACGTCTCATCAGTCCACTTCCTCCACTTCACCACTTAGTCCACTTCCTTCACTTCGTCCACTTCCTCCACTTCCTCCACTTCGTCAACTTTGTCAACTTTGTCAGCTTCGTCCACTTCGTCCACCTAGTCCACTTCGTTGACTTCGTCCACTTCCTCCACTTCGTCCACTTC